TAAAACAACTCTATGGGCTTTTCATTTGTTTCTGGGTACAATTCAAAATGATGGTCATGGCCAATAAAGCCCTATATGCCTCAAATCCAGGCTATCTGTCAGACCTTATCTCCCTGTATGTGCTTGCTTAGGCCCTGATATCATAATCATAGGCCTTTCTCTCAGTTCCATCATCTTCATGAGACTGGTTGGTGAGGACATGAGAGACAGCCTTCTCAGTGGCTGCCCTTTGACTCTGGAACTGCCTCCCTGGAGAGGCCAGAATTCTCCCCTCCATTCTGTCCTTTTGTGGGCAAGCAAAACACTTGTTATTCCAACAGACTTTTAATACAGAACGTTTTTACAGGCTAGGAATGTTGTATTGTTTTAAACGGTACTGTTTTTAATAGCTTTTTAACCTTTAAAACTATCATATATTCAGTTCTTGTGGGTTTTTTCGGGCTATATGGCCATGTTCTAGAGGCATTTCTCCTGACGTTTCGCCTGCATCTATGGCAAGCATCCTCACCTCTGAGGATGCTTGCCATAGATGCAGGCGAAACGTCAGGAGAAATGCCTCTAGAACATGGCCATATAGCCCGAAAAAACCCACAAGAACTGAGTGATTCCGGCCATGAAAGCCTTCGACATTATCATATATTCTTTTAACTAGAGATTTGAAGTGTTTTCATATTGTGACTACTGTATATGCTTGATCTCATGCACGAATCAAGGGCAGGTTTGGGCTTGACATTATGGATGTTGATATTATTCATGGATAAGTCAAGAATCAAATGTTAGGGATCAAGATAGGTCTCAATCGATCCTTTTTGTATAGATGCAAAAGCACCAGCACTGCCACAAGCTGCTGTCACCATTTTCCCACCTAAACATTTTGACACTCTATGCGTAAAAGAGGGTGATTTCTTTTTGGATAAAAGTTAAGGTACAGTATTAACTCTTGTCAAAAAAGAATCATCCCCTTCTTTGACTACAGTGGCAAAAGAGAACAGCTTAGGTCTCTTCTACACTGTCCTTATATCCCAGGATCTGATCCCAGATTATATGGCAGTGGAGATTCATATAATCTAGTTCAAAGCAGATAACCTGGGATATAGGGACAGTGTAGAAGGGGCCTTAGTCCATCACAAAGAACCTAAAAGAAGCACTAACCCCTTCTTCGCCACACTGCTGTTTCTGGTCTTTTTGAATTCCTTCGCAGGAAAATAGTGCTACTCTGCCTTCGTAAGGATAGCAGAGAAGGTTTGGTGCTGCTGTTATTGGGAGGCTCTCCATGATCAGATTCTTCGTCACCTGCCTGTCTAACCTTGGTTATCTGAAGCGAGTGAAGAGTCTATCCAGGGAGAGACTCTATTGTAAAAGAAACACTGACTTTCTCTGCTCTCCCTGTCAGGGCAGGGTAGTGCTAAAGAGCCTCCTGCCCATGTATTCAAAAAGGCCAGAGGAAAGCTACAGCACACCAGTACTGCCTTGACTAATATATAAGCCAATCCTATTTTTTGGATCCATTTTTGGCATACGTTTTTTTTTACTGTACATAAGTGTATATGGTAGTTCCAATTTTTATGGGTTTTTTTTTAAACTTTATTGTTCTTTTAAATTGTAAGTTGTCCTGTGTCTGATTTTGGGAAGGAAAGTGGGATACAGATAAAGGTGGTGGTGGTGGTGGTGGTGATGATGATGATGATGATGATGATGATGATGGTACAAGAAGGAGCAGGACTGCTTCTTCTTTCCTCTGTGCTCAAGAATAGTCTGTGTGTTCCAAAGTTATGTATTTTTTTTAAATGCTATGTTCATTTTAATTAATTTTAACTATATATTTAAGACAAATGGAGTGAAATAATTACTGTTTTTCTTCAGAGTTCCAATTCTTGCTTCCTGAGTATTTCAGAAATGTCCTCCCACCCCCAATACATAGTCTTTTATTGTTTTTTAAATTGCCTTTCTTTTTCTTCTTCCCAGCTTCTTGAGGCTGATGTTTTCAAGTTTCCATCTGACTGTCAACTCTTTGTAATAGGCTTAAGAGCTTGGCTACTTGATATTTCTAGGTGCCGTAGTACTCTCTTTTAGAAGTGTTCACTTTAGATGGCAATGAAATTAGGGTTTTTTAAAAGAAGAATACTTTAATTAAGTATGTCCCATGTTATACATGTAGCATAATTATTTCCCTCTTTCTTTCTTTTCTCCCCTCAAAAATGACAGTGAGTTTTTTCTCATACTGTTAGGCAGCATTTAAAGAATACTGGTTTAAGAAAATTACAGGCAGTCCTCGAGTTACAAATTTCCAAGTTACAAATTTATTGCATTATCTCAACCCTGTGTGTATGAATGCTGTTACTGGTCAAGATGGCCTTGTTTACTGATAGAGAGGAAAGTCGATTCTTTAAATGTAGAAGAATTTTAACAATAAAAAAACTAGAGAGTTTTGTTTTGTGCCTTTATGAGCCATTGAATTGTTCAACAATTTGCCACAAAACTAATGCAACTAGAAACCAAAATCTTTCTGTCCTTTGAGATACATTTTGCTCACCAATAACTCCAGAGCCAGATTTCCTGTGATATAATATGTATCATAGCCCCAAGGCAAGGGGCCCTATATTCCTCTGTTTTAATTAATATATTATTGCTGAAATCTTCATAGACAACAAGTAAGGTTTTCTTACAGGGCCTGATGTGGCTCGCCAAGCAATATATAGCATTATGTGCCTTTTTTTTTTTTTACATTTTGTATGACTTTTGAAATCTTTCACACTAGCATTTTCACAGCAAGTTCCACACAGCTTACCGGCATTGGATAGATAGTAAAATTGTTAAGATAACTTTATCCTATAAAATGGCATGTAAACTGAGTTAAATTAAGAAAAGCTGTCTGGAATTTCATATAACACAATTTCCTAAAAATAAGTGAGACAGTCTAAAACAATCCTTTATAGGTGGAAATGGTAGTGCTGCAAGGCCACTGCCCTGACAGTTCTGTTCTCGGCTTCCCCTAAATAAACTTGGTTGGTAAAAGCTATTTGGAGCAAATCTTACTTTTTGTCTATAAAAAGAAGGGTAATAGAGGAACAGGCATTGACTATGCTAATGGAAACATCTAAGGCTTTGTAAATTATATTCAACCTGTTAGAGGAACACCTAAAAATAACAGTTCACATGAACATCATAAGTCAGATTTGAAACATAGTTTAAAAACTTTTCATGAGTCATGTTTTCACATTACGTACATCTGTCTTATCTTGTCAAGCACCATACATAGTGAAGTTTGTAGGTACAACTTTCAATATACATAGCTGTGAATCCAGCATTCAGTCTTATTGAACATGCATGCACATGTGTGTACATACATAACCAATGAACCTGAAAAGGTAGGGATCGTTTGCAGAGAAAATTAAACGGAAACACTTGATTAGTTCTTCATGCACAAGCACTGGGACAGCAGATTATTATGATGGTTGATGATAGAGCTAGAAGTGCACAGAGACAAAAAGTTCTGGGTAAAGAAGGACCAGATAAGGAGTGGGTGATATAACGACCAAGAATATATATATATATATACACACACACACATACACACACACACACACACACACATATACATACATGGCTAATATGTCTGCCTTATTTCACTGAACTCAATCTCAAAAGAATCTACTCCCTGATCAATTGCAGTAGCTTATCAATCCTCCATTAGTACTGGGCATATTGGCTTTTATTATTACCTTTTTGATAGATTGGAGTTATTGTGTCGGACTGCAACAAACTGTAGACTGCAAACAAACTCAGGTGATAGTGGAGACACTTGACAGCTGTCTAACCTGATTTGAATGCAATTTTCCTGCTTCTTGGCAGGGGGTTGGACTGCATGGCTCATGAGGTCTCTTCCAACTCAATGATTCTAAGATTCTAACCTGATTGTAGGAACTCCATAACCTCAAATAGAGTGAACTATATCAGAAATGGAATTTGGAATGCAGAACTCTCAAATTTGTTATTACAAAGATTATAAAACACTGAGATGCACAATAGAATTTGGGGTAGGAGGTAAAAAGGTTGCAGGGTGTGTGGAGTTATGCTCAGCTCATATTTGGTAATTATACATGCACATACACATATACAGTCAACCGCCGGAGTCGCCTGCGGGCTGAGAGGGGCGGTATACAAATGTAGCAAATAAATAAATAAATAAATAAATACCCCTCCACGTCTGCTGTAATCGAGGGCACAGGACCCCTGTGAAAGTGTAAACTGCCATTAAAGAAGTTTTTTTTTACCTGAGAATAGAACTCTCTATGCATTTCTATGTCTTCCGGGATTACTCTGTGGTCATCATCCTCTGGAACAGTGGTTCTCAACCTGGGGTCCCCAGATGTTTTTGGCCTACAATTCCCAGAAATCCTAACAGCTGGTAAACTGGCTGGGATTTCTGGGAGTTGTAGGCCAAAAACATCTGGGGACCCAAGGTTGAGAACCACTGCTCTGGAAGCTGAAGACAGAATTGCATTGAAGGATCCAGAGATTCCCAGAGAGATGTTCTGTCAAGAAATCTCTAGGTCTTCCAGTGTAGCTGAAGGAAGCTGACCATAAAGTCATACTGGAGAACCTTGAGATTTGTAGAGAGAACATTTTAAATTAAATCCATGAATAATCAAATCCATAAAAGCCAAAACCGCAAATGTGGAGGGATGACTGTATGCATGAGTCATACAGTCATCCCTCCACATATGCATACAGTCATCCCTCCACATACACATGCTTAAGAATTTAATTCATGTGACTTTGGAACCAAATACAATAATATAATGTATGCAAATAACAAAATCCTCCAATACCTTGGAATATAGTTTCCTGATAAAACTATTCTAGTTCCCAGACCATAGTTCTTCCAGCATGGATGTGATAGTTGCAGAAGAAATTGACTTGATAGCCTTCCTTGCAAATTCATTTGCTGCAAATCTGGAATTATCCTGCATCCCAATAATTTATATTCCTTCCCACAGGAAGCAATTATGGTTCTTGGGATAGAGAAAAACTCCAGTCTCCCCCAAGCCAAGCATCGCAGGCTTCTGTTAACCACCCCAACTTGCCTGGACAGCATAACCTTCCAGTTAACCATCCTCTCAACCCTCTCCAACCGAATCATCTTCTGCCAAATGGTACGGGGTGAAATCCTTTCACATTAATCTTCCGATATTTTCAAAGTTCTATCACTTATATTTCATTAAAAGGACTACATTCAAAGGAAAAGACAGCAACAAGAAAATGTGATTTTTGTAAAATTCTCCAAATATAACCAGAGGGGACCATTTTGAAACAGTGTTTCACTAGAGAACTATTTAAAAGAAATGATTTACCAGCAGTGACAAATATTTAACATCAAGACATGTTACCATGAGAAATTGAGTGGATTGTGTAAGAAATGGCAAGAAACAATTATTTGTGTGATGATAACTATTAATGGCTTATGTGAACATCATTGTCTTTTGCAAACTAGTTCAAGGATAATAAGTAGGAGCTTGTTCTTGAGGTGGACATGGCACACTTTACTCAACATAGCTGTTCTGTAGACATGTATAGGAGTGTTGATTTATGTGAACAGATCGATCACTTGGTTCAGAGTTCTGAGGACTTCTGCATTTCAGGCAGCAGGTAAAACACCACAGATTTCAATGCTCCCATGTATTTAAAAACAAATACAAGCCAAAAATCCAAAATACTGGATGTAGAAACAAGAGGGTTAAACTGGTACATTAATTTTCCTTAAATTGGTCAATGGTTTATACATCCATCAATTTTGACCCTGCTTCTCTCATAGACTCAAATAAGCCTATAATACCTAACATCACATTATAAATACCTAAATTGTTTCTGCATCAAAATGTTCTCAGCCTATTTCTTACTCGTTCATGTGTCTTACAGTTCTTTCAGTAATTCTGCTGCCAGCTTTACTTGCTGTCCATTTTGGGGCTCTCAGAGCATTTTTCATTTATATGTGTATTTATTTGAGTTCTTGTATACCACCCAAAAATAGTGACTCAATAATAGTATTAGGATATAATTAAAGCAATAAAATGTGATGCATGGCAGAAAAAATAATAGAGAAGTGACACACAACACTTTTAAACAGACTTCAGATGTTTAAAAATATTCTTTTCAACAAAATGGAAGGCCTGAGAACACTATAAATACTTGATGCAAACAAGATAATAAGAGATGGGTACTACATCAGCCATCTCATAGTGAGCATTTGATAACTATAGGGAGGCAACACTGAAAATATCATCTCCCCAGTAGTAATCGGTCAAACTTTAATGGTTGAAAAATCTAGAAAAGTGTTTCTGAAGGCTTCCTGAGAGTGCAAGTAGGGAGTCGTGTAAAGATCCCATGTAGGGACATGCAGTCCTTCAGGTAATCTGAAGCTAGTGCTGGTGAAGTCCTGGGTTAGTTCTATTTCATTTATGGAATTTGATTTCTGCTTTCATCCTAGCGTTGGACTCATTGCAACTTCCAAGACAGTTAAAATATTCACAATAATAATTTATAACTAATTAAAAGCAGATAAAACAGCATAAACATTTTGAAAATACACAATTTTAGAAAGAATAAAATAGCTCCATAGAAAGTTCTCCTGCTTACATGTTATAATGCTTATTTTCTCCTGTTCCAATTAAATATCTTTAAGCCCTGTTTTGGACTAACTGAAGTTTCTGAGATGTCTTCAAATAACAAACCCAAGTACAATAATTCAAATGGGATAACTTCAGGACATGAGTAATTACATTAAATATATGTCTGTCCAGACTTGCTCAACTCTACCTCTGTATTGGTACCTTAGAGTTGCCATAAGAGCTAAGTGTCTTGAAGGCAAAAAACAACTAGAACCCTCCATATTGGACTCTGGGAATAAAAGTAGAGGTTTACTTGCATGGATATGCAGTCATCAGAAAAACTGTAGGGAAATACTGATGTTTACCTGGAGGGACAGGAGTAGTTAACCCGTCCCTTCAGATTTCTTTTGTACTGCACTTGTCACCATCAATCCCCATGATCAGTGATGACAAGTGCAGTGCAAAAGGGCTGATGGGAGATACATTTCACATCTGCTTGGCCACTGCTTATCCATCCTTTAGTTCAGGAGCAAGGAACTTCCAGGGTAAGGGTGGCTTTTGCCCACACACAGGATTCTAGAGGGATGGAGCTACTTAGCATCCTGCATGTTACACCCCTCCCCATTTCTTTCCAAACACTTAATCCCCCCCCCACACCCCCGGTGGTTGATACCACCCTAAAATTTTCTGGAATGTGTGATTAACTATTGAAAGCTGTCTCTCCCTCCCTCCATCTCTCTCCGCCTCTCACTGCTTCATGGGGGTGAAGCAGTGAGATAGCCCCAGATGGTCAATTATACTCATGGGGGAGGTCTTTTGTTTGGTTTTTTAATTTTTTTTCTTTTTGCAAGATTTAGAGGGGGGAACAGTATGGTGGAGAAGATTTGGGACCTGGCAGCTAAGATAGCAGAATGTGTACAACTAAATTGACTGAAGCATAATGTGCCATTGAATGTTATGTGCACCTCAATTTTGAAGATGCACATTACAAAAAAATGATTTGCTCTTGAATGTAATGCACCCAACAGTGCCATTGCATGCCAGGGAGGCAAGCAGCATAAATGAGACCATTTGGGTAGTCACAGCACTCTCTCAGGTTGAGGCTGGTGAACAGGCCATCCTCAAAATGATTCCCAATTGGCTTCAATCACCAGGCCTTCAAAACCAAAGGGAAGGTTCTGAAGGCATTATAAAGAGGCCAGTTAAAAACCATATGAAACTGAACCCCGGGGGAGGGGGACTTCGATGGCCACTTGGCAGGCAGGATCTGCAGCTAAGAAGCAGGAATGACTGGATCACCTGCTGGGCACTCCTCCGCCTTTGTGTGTCATGGAGCCCTGAGGCCGCTAACACCACCAGGAACAGTTTCTTCACCCCCCAACCCCTTACCTCCCTGTCAGGCCTCTGGGGTTCCAGATTCCTTCAAGCCTTTTCACACAGGTGGATTTATGTGCATGATTCTGACACAGCCATCTAATATAATGTTCACTCTAATTTTGGCAATGTAATTTAGCCAAAAGGGGTTAGCATTAGACTCAAGTAAATATGGTATTTGAATCAATGACCAAAATTTCAAATACTGCTTGTTTAATATCAAGGATCATTGAAACATAGAATCTCCTTCTTGCAATCTGAAAAGAAGCAACCCCTGGGATTCTACTCCATGTGACTTTTCTGAATATGTAGGATGGGCATGAAAGTAATGTCTGATGATGACCTACTAAAGCAGTGGTTCTCAACCTGTGGGTCCCCAGATGTTTTGGCCTTCAACTCCGAGAAATCCTAACAGCTGGTAAACTGGCTGGGGTTTCTGGAAATTGTAAGAACCACTGTACTAAAGGCACCTCACCAATTGTTAGCCCAAGTCAGTTAAACTCTTTGAAACATTGGGAATTTGGTAGACATGTAGGTTGTGTCTAATTGTCGAATCTGTAGTAGTTCGAAATGATTGATTTTAGCTCATGGTAAGAATTAAAAACAAGGCACTAGCAGTTCATTACTAAAGTAGTATTGATACAGTTGGCAATTATTTTCAGAAGGCAAATTGTTGGGCGGGGACGAGAAAAAGCCTGATGTCTACACAAGCCCTTAGAAGTCGGTGGCACAAATACTATTGTTGGGGTTATTGAATGAAAGTAGTGAAAATGTATATCTTATTGAAGATACTGTGGTGTATTATATATAACTTTCATTAAAACATAAATTCAAGGCAATGTCACAGATAGTTTTCCATACAACGGAGGTGTCATTGTGCTCTTCAAATGCTGTTAGTTAACCGGTGTTTAGAGACAGATGTTAAAATGATGGCCTGCTCCCAACAAAAATGGGAAGATGACTTCATGGGAGCTAGTTATTCTTTGGATTTGGACATCTGTACCATAATGAATGTACCACCTTTCAAGGTTGATTGCTAATCCCATACTGAGCAATGATAGTAATAGTTTCTTCCCTTGCATATTATACTAGAAACAGTAGCATAAAGTATGTTTTCCTACTATTGTAATACTTGTGAGCTAAGGACCAATTGAGTAAAACTTTACCATTGTCTGGTGGGTAGTTAAATTGCCTTTGTTTAGTGCCAGAAATGCTGGTAACATTCAGTGTTTTAAAGTCATAAATGCATTTTTGCTTTATTTTTTCCCCAAGGCCTGGAGCTCCCTTTTATGATGATGCCTCACCCGCTTATTCCTGTCAGCTTGCCACCAGCATCTGTCACAATGGCGATGAGCCAGATGAACCACCTTAGCACCATCGCAAACATGGCAGCCGCAGCACAAGTACAGAGTCCTCCCTCAAGAGTTGAGACGTCTGTTATTAAGGTAACTGTTTATCTTACAAACAGAAAGAAAGCCATAAATGGGCAAATATTGAATAAAGTAGTAATATTTTCCCCTAGTAATCTTTTTCTTTCTTTGGCTTACATTTCCACTGTCGTAAAATATGATGTAACTAGTTAAGGGAATCTACTTCATATGCAGAGCCAAGTATTTTACATCTAGTATTTTTCTTCTAGCATTCTATATCTTTCATAATGCTGCTTCTTAGTTGAAAGACAGGTTCAGCCTCAATTCACAGGTGTTTTCTTAACCTTTTTAAGCAATTCTTACCAATAAGAAACTGGGCTTTTTGTGGATACCCTTGAAGTTCTGCCTTCAATGAACATTTTTGTAAGCTGTTTATATGGTTTTTTTAAAGCTTGTGTTTTGCCCTTTTACTAGTAAGATTTTTTGTGTACCCATATGGACAGGTGAGTTGGATAACAGAGTTTTAAACTATTCCTCTTGGAAAACTTTCTTCTTATCACCCCGCAGGTTCAGGGACTAGACTCTGTCTTCCATGACCCTTAATGTCTATTAATATTTAATTGTCTACCAAAGACAGACCAAATCTTATAAATGTAAGCAAGTTGAAAATGCTCTTTCATAGATTGAGTGATTAGTTAAGAGGTATACGTTGTCAGGACAGTAAATAGAGAGGACACTCAAACAACAGGGGAATGCCTCACATGAAACAATCAAGGCTGACTAACACCTCCCAACAAAGGATTCCCCCAGGCAAAAATCAGCCAGGCTTTGTAGCTGCAAGGCTATTCAGTGCTAATCAAGGTGGCCAACTGCAACATCCACACTTGCCTCAAGCAGGCAAGAGTTCTTTCTCCCACCTTGGACATTCCACAGATTCCCCACAGACCTCACAACCTCTGAGGGTGCCTGCCGTAGATGTGGGAGAAACGTCAGGAGAGAATGCTTCTGGAACATGGCCATACAACCTGGAAAACTCCTAGCAACCTATTTAAAGGGTACTTTCTGATATATCAGCGATATTCGGATCCTTGATGGGCATTCTATTAAATGGAGCAAGAAGCCTTACAACTAAAAAATCAGGATCAAATGTGTATACTGATTTCAGATTTTTGTTTGTTTCTTTAACTAAGGGTAAACAATAGGGCATCCAGTCTCGATTGTGGCTGCATCTACTACATGTTTACTTCTTTCTTCATAAAGGAAGCATCCTAGATATTTCCTTCCTGAAGTCCTTATCAATTTAATGGAAAGGGGGAAAGAACCCAAGTTGGGCCATAGAGGTTTACCTCCTTCCTTTAATACTTCTTTCTCCAAAGAAGGGAAGGATTTAAACCTTCCTTCTCTTTATGCAGCGATCCCAACCAGAGCTAGATTACCCACACTTTATTTATGTAAAACAAGAACAGGCATAGAATCCATCATGAATATAACGTGGAATTCGGGTTTCAGCTAGTTTTGAGATACGATCTGCTGTAATGTGAGCTTCCATCAGCAAAATGTTCTTTGCAAGGATCGTGGACCCAAGATCCTTAAGAAGCAGATCCTTTATTGTGTGCTTTCTGTCTTAATCCTAGAAGGCAAAAAAGATAAAAGTATGAATGAAGAAGTCCACTGAAGGCAAGCAGTTCTATTCTTCCAGTGAATCCAGGACACAAACATGTGTGGATACTCCTCAGGATATTCCATTTTCAGTTTGTTTGTTTTTTCCACCAAAGGACATTACACATCCTCTTCACATTCCAGTATCGGTGTTGACTTCTCATAATGTTGCAAGGAGTGCAACTTAATGTAAATAGTTAAATATCAGTGAAATACTTTAACAAATTTTAGCAAGAGTGACAAGTGTGGCCAGCACTTCCAGCTCTGGTCTGGGGTTGTATGGGTGGGAATTGAACTCTCCCTTGACAACCAAAAATTGATCCTGCCTTCCAGCCTAAAGTTGACCTTTACTTAGATGTAAAGCTTGGTTCTTGAATATCTAATGAACAGGAAAAGTAAAAGAGGATTTGCTGATTTCTTTTGCAACAGAATTCAATATGAGCTTATCTTTTCCATGGAGCATACTGGGACTTAAATTATTTAATTAATTGGAATTATGGATTGGCATTCCCAAAGGGCAGTAATGATATGTTAATTACAAATCACCCAATTAAACTAAATAAATCATAATTTGCTCTATTCGTCTTATCCCTAGTCTCAAAGCAAATTTGAATTTAGAAAGCCCAAAACTCTGCTTCCAGAACCTGTGCTTTGGATATCTGTGGTTGAAGGGAAACCAGTGAGAATTTTCCTGGCTTTCTGTGCATTGCATCCATATAGCTTTCAAGATTTATTCTTCTTGATTACGCAGTATGACATTAATTTGAGATAATGAATTGCACCAAAGTGTGAAATCAACACCAGGGAGAAAAGAGATGCCTATTTCTCCATACAGGCATTTAAGTACGTTTACTGCTTTAATTCCCAACAGCTTTTGAATTCTTTAAAATGACAGACACCCATTTGCCTCAGTAGGAAAGCTGATTTGGAGGGCCTTGCCAACTCAGATCTCTTGCTGACCTTTCCCTACAATGCACCAAGTTCTTCTAAGCCAGAGTTGTTATCTTAAACTTTAAACCTCAGATGTCATTCTGCTATTAAGCAGTGCTTCATTTTCCAGAGATAAGAGGCTGTAATTACGCAGAAAACAAATCTTAGTTTTCTATTTTTAACTCTTTCAGAAGTCAAGCTATGAAGAATAAAGTAGAAAGGGCACATAACACATCCCTGAAAAGGGGCCAGTTGTGCTAAGCATTATAACCCCACCTGATGAATCTGCGCCCTTTCTGAAATGAGATGAACATTAGATACCCTTTTTGTAATTGAATGTTGCGATCTGTGAATTGAAGGAAAGAGATCGCAGGAATGAGCAGGGACAACAGACTGTGACAATAGTAAATCACAGCGAGTGTGACAGCTGTGACCCAAGAATGCTTTAGGCAGGAGATGCCTTTCATCACCTGCCCATGGCTTCAGAAAACCAAGCTTGTTAGCAGTCTCTGCTTTCCCTGAGCAGAAATATGTACAAACAGTATAAAAGCATTTCAAAAATAAATGCTATAACTTAGAGCTGATGATAACAGGTTTGTAGTAACACTCAGAAGACAGCCATAAAACAGTATCAGGCACTATGCAAAATCCATGAAGCATACATTAAAATACCAATTTCTAATAGAATATATTACATAGTGCAGTACCTATAGTGCTCCGTTGATTATCTGAACGGCTTACACATTTAGAAAACATAGGAAGTGTGATGATAAATTAGAGAGTGCTTCTTTCCATTGGTTTGTTGAATGACAAAATGTCACAAAAAATCTGATAAATTGTATTATTCAGTGGTGGAATTCATATTGAGTTACCAGGTTTTTAGGAGCTGCTTTACATGTTGCTTACACACACACACACACACACACACACACACACATATTTACACACACACACACACACACACAGAGCTGTGTAAATCAAATTAGTACCCAAGCCTGGTAACCTGGAATAGCAATACTTTTTATTATTTGTTTATTTACATTATTTCTGTCCCACCCATATCAGCCTGAAGGCAACTCAGGTTTTGCATACCATTGCCAAATTCCTTGTTATATAATGTGTGCTCTTTTTGGTATTGCTGTATTGTTTACAAATAAAATAGATAAGGATAAAATCACAATGGATATGCAGATTTTCCATTCCAGATTCTCCAATAGCATGTTCATTTTTTTGCAGTTTTAACACTGAACATACTGGTTTCTTTTTACTCTAGTTCCAGAGATTGGCACATTAAAATGTGACAACAAAAAAACAAAAATCTCCTAGCACATTAAACATTACTAAAGTTATTATATAGTGTGTCCTTCTGTGGACTGGAGTTCGTTTTCTTTCTCTGTGTTATTGATGCTCAGCGTGCATATTGATGAAACACTGCTAAATAACTTGATGAAATCCTGTGCATATCTCATATTGTTCGTGTATGAGAGAGATTTTACTGATATACCCATGTTGCATATCACTGCACTAAAAGTGTCTTTATACAAATGATTGGAGTATTAGATCAACATTGCTTTGGCTGTGTATCACATTATACACAACTACACTTTCATATTTGTGAAACACTACAGAAGAAGCATCTTGATATAGTAATATGTACAACAACATTGTTTCTTTGCAGTGCTTAATTACTGCATGTGTACCTACTTTTCGTATTATGTATTATGTCAGTATTATTACTGTTAGTATTAATCATAATGAGAAGGATGCAATTTTGAATTTTAATTATAGTTAGTTTTCATAATGTATTTTTGTTATTAGATGAGTATTATAAATTTATATGCATTGATTTTATATATTTGAATAAGAGGTGGATAGTTGAATGGCAACGAATTGTGCCATATGTTAGCTGCTCTGAGTTCCTCGATGAAGGAGAGAGGGCGGGACAGAAAACAAAGTAAATAAATAAATAAATGGGATAAAAGGCAATTAAGCTTGTCTAACAGCAAATAGGTCATGAGAAACAGGAGAATTCTTCATGCGTTATAGTCCTTATTGGATATGTTACTACTCATATCCAGCAGGTCCTGTATCTGATTAAGGTAGGTTTCAATATTTAGAAGGGACTCATATTTCTGATCAATGTGTCTTTGCAGTGGCACAGAGTATGATGGTGCAATGCAATGTTGGAATGAAAATATAATGTGCGACAGGGCAAGGTTCACATTACTAGCTTTTTCCCCCTAATCATCGATTGTGCTTTAGTTCCTTAGAGAATGATGGATTTTAAAAAACTTTCTCACAAGGCGGATTCTTCTACATTGAAAAATAGTGGGTGCCTTTTGCTTTGAGAAGTTTACTAGTTGCATTCCATGCCTGTAGTTTTAACATTAATGTATCTTGTTTGTTTGTAAAATAGAGCCCTCCAAAGTTCAAAAGTTGTCTTTTTAAGATTTCATTACTAGGAAAGTCTGTCAAAATGTAGAAGATATTGTACATTCTTTTCAGGAGAAGACATCACAAATTAAGTTTCATAGTTGACGTGTACTGTTTAAAATATAACTTGAACAAATTGATACTAGACTGTAGATTAGTAGTAAAAATTATGTGGCCAACACAGTTATGTTTGGCCTGGGCAAATATGGCGTGCTTTTCTAAAATTATTAAGCCTGAATGAAAAAAAAGCAATCTATTACTCAGGTATTTTACATTATGTTACTTTATAATTATAGGAATATGTAAAGCATGAAACTGGGTTAATGACCCTCCTATGAGTCTTTTTTCAGAAGTCATTTATTCTGGAATTTTCTTAAGTCAATTGAAAATATCTCCATGAGTTCAGCAGATATCTTAGTTATGCACTTCTGTTTCCCAGGGATTTTTCATTCACCTCAAAGAACGTCTTCTTGAAAAAAAAAATTGGATAAAATTTATTTTAGAGAGTATCACAACCAAAACTTTAAAGCTCCCATGCAGCAGGTACCTTTTTGCCTATATTTCTATTCATAGATGCCAACTTTTGGATGGATGGATGGATGGATTCTTGATTGCTGGGAGGATTTTAAGTGCATTTAGTCAAACACTCAAAGAATTGCATTTCAGACTTTCCCGCTCAAAGAAGAATATTTTATGGTTGGTGACACTAAGGAAAGAGATTTTAAACTAGGCTTTATTTTTTTCAGTTTTATAGAGGGAAATTATTTTTAGTTGTCTCATTTTTTATTCTTAACCAACTTCCAGATTTAAGAACAATATTTGTGAAGATAATTTTCTTTATTGTGTGGCTGTTTTATGGGATGAAGAGCAGAAAAGATGTACTATATCATTTTGGACAAGAATGATAATGGCACCTGAAAAGTTGCTGGTCGAGCTAAGGGTATTTAGTGGCAAGGACTCTGTCCCTCACATTTCTAGGTCTTCTTTCCAATGAAAGCTCACATATAGCCGTTTTTTTATGAAATTCAGTATGTGAACACACTGAAGCTCATTCAAACTGCTGCTGAGTATCATCTATGGGCAGGTGAGGAAATGCAAATTTGCATTGTTCCTGATTTTCAGTCACACTACAGAATGGTAGTGCTCTGATTGTACTTCAACTGTCATGGTAGCCTCTTATGGAATCATGGATTTTGTTGTTTAAGAACTGATATTTAGCACTGTTAGCTGGAGAGCTGTATTTTCTCACCACAGCTTAACCCTAGGATTCCATAGGAAGCAGTCATGGTTAGGTTAGGGTTCAGGAAAGGCCCCTTTAGGCCCTTGGATTGTAGGGGGGTGATTCAGAAGGAGTCTAGCCTTGAGGCTTTTACTCTGAGTCCTGGGACCTCTAACTTAGAGAGTCCTGAGTATTTCTGAATCACCACCCTCCAGTACAGGGGCCTAAAAAGGTATTTCTTGAGCCTTACCTTTCACCAAAAATGTACCAGGGAGTATACTGAAATGATATACCCTCCCTCCACTACCTGCTACAAATAAGGACTAAGTGTCTGCTTAGTCCATTCACCTGGGTTTCCTTTCTATTAAGTGGCCAATGAGAGCAACCCAATTGTTAGATTGCCCTCAAAGGAAGGCTATGGAGGTTGTCATGGGCTGGTCTCAGCTGGATCCATATCAGGTTGCTCCCCCTCTTGCTCCTTTCCAGATTCAGTATAAATTAAATAAGTTATAGGTCAAACAAAGTGGCACTTATTTAACTCATCTTTCTCTGCCTGGTCTCGTTATTCCATGGGTTGGTCATCAATCAAAAGAACTAGTAGATTTCAATGTCTTCTATACTTCTTTGTAATAGAGGTCTCTAGGCCCATCTGTTATATTATAGCTGTCAAAAGTTATGTGTGAATAAGTAGCTGAATACCTTTTAATTCACTTTCTTTTTAATTTTTTTATTGAAGTCCTTTTAAAGGAAAAGTCAATATTTTACTAAATCCATCTGTTTCCCTCAGAAAGACAAGGTGGAAAGAATGACTTCCTCATATTGACTTTCTCCAGTGCTTTTAGTTTATTAGTATGCCCTTTTTAGAGAAAGAACATATTTCCAATGTCTTATTCCTAGCATTTCCATTTATTATTGCAGCTACTTTTGATAAAGGCAGAAAATTGCAAGAGATTATATATTATTGATTGGAGAAATTATGAGGCAAAACTATGAAGCAAAGGCTTGAGGAATTAAATTAATTACACTCTTACCTCTGCTTAGTTCAGTTGCATTTCTATTAAGGTTAAAGGGTATTTCACAAATGAACTGATAAACTGAGTTTACAAAGCACTCTCTCATATACTTCCTCCTGGTTCATCTTATTATAAGACAATAATAAAACTCATTATCTCCTTTGTTTTAGTCATAATTGTGTTGTGTTGCTGTACGCATATCTTCTGCTGTCTCCATATTATAATTTGTTCTGTAAAGGCATACATAAATATGATAAACAAATTAAACTCTTTAAAGAAATTAATTTACTATGCAACTCTATTCAAATCATATATGCTCACTGGATTTCATTTTTAATGAAGGTATTCAAAAGATAGCAGGCCAAACGGTGGAATTATGTATTAAATGAAAAGTTTACATACCATCTAATTGTGTATATTTCTAGGGAAACAATGTATGCAGTTATGTATATTAATAGAAGTCAACATCATGGGTTCTGTAAATATCTGCTTTATACTTCCATACTTAGCTGTTGAGATCCTGGTGTATACATTTCACTAATTTTTTTAATTACATCATAAATAGAGTTTTGGTTACACTACCAATTTCCCTCTAGTGCTTTAAGTTTTGAAATACTTAAAAAGGTTGGCCTAAATCCCACTGAATCAGTTGCCAAATTACAACCCTTTTGTAAATCCCATTGATTCAACTCTCTTTGGACTGCAATTTGATCTAGGCCTGTATTTCACAAATACCTGTCTTTTGATTGTTTGATAATGTGAAAATAAATATTCTGAAAAACATCTATCCTGTTCTTGCATTTCTCACATGGGGTAATGGCTTCATAAATAAATAGCTCCCACACCACTGTGGGACCAATGGTTTAAAATTAAATGGAAATAAACCACCCAATCCTAAGCATATGTTACTGTCCCCTAGATAAATTGAATCTTTTAAGTTATTTGTCATACTTTCAACTTGATTAAGCATTAGCTCTGAATGTTTTATGCATATCTCAAGAATAGTCCAATTATGTACATGTTGCATCTCTAGTACCTATCTAGCTGTTTGAAAACTGTGGCCTGAAAGACCAATTGTGAAACATTCTCCGGATTCTAATATATAGGTATAATATAGCAGAGCTAGTTTCAGGTTTGTCATTCTGATGTATAAAAATAACAAGTAGCAATGTTTTACATTGGGTTCTGTTGCTTTTTGTTGATATGTTTTGGTGATGTGCAGGAACGAGTTCCAGACAGCCCTTCCCCTGCTCCATCCCTTGAAGAAGGTCGGCGGCCTGGAAGTCACCCGTCATCGCATCGTAGTAGCAGCGTGTCCAGTTCTCCTGCACGAACTGAAAGCTCTTCAGACAGAATCCGTAGGTCACAGCGTATTTTCTTTTGACACTTAGAATGAATTAACTGATAGAAGCAGGACAGCTTCTTAAATAAACCTGAAACAAATACATGGATACAGGTTGAATCATCCATATCCATTAATACAAAATACTAAAGAAAACCTAAAATAGTTAATGTGGGTGGTTAAAATAGTGACATAATTTGTTGGGGGGGGGGGGTTCACAAAATTACTAAAAACATGGTATGAAATTGCCTTCAAGGTGTATATGAAACATAAATGAATGTCATGTTTACACTTGGATCCCATCTCCAAGATGTATGTATATGAAAATACAATATATCAAATATTATAAAATCATTAAAAAACCCAAAATCTAAATACTTCTGATCCTTTGCAATTTAAATAAATCAATACTCAAATTGTATTACAGTGTCATCACATTTCTCTTTTTACCTCAAGTGGTGTGTATAAGTGCATTCAACACAAACATCTGAAACAGAAATCTCTGTTGTCTGAAAGAAGTTTATTTTGTTTTTTTTAATTGTTATCACAAATTCAGACTAATTAGCTTGCACCCATGGAAGCCAAATACAATCTATTGGGCATATACACTGTATACTGTCAGATGTTTGAACATGATTTTACTAATTTTTCTCCATTGCAAACAAAAGAAGAAAAGCAGAAGACATTTTTGTGTTTAAAAGACTACTGTATTTGTTTTGTAAGTTGATTGATTCATATATATATATGGACTAGAACATTTTGAAAGAATCGAACTTTAGTATAAACCCATATATTATTCTTGGTATATTTTCCCATGGATTTTGGTAAACTTGTTCTCACTTTATTTGATGATGGACTACTTCTACTTGTGCCATGCCTAGCTGTGAATCTAAATTTAACTATTTCAGATTTCCCTATCTGAAAATATCATCTTCTGGATGTTGTTTCTTTTCTTTTAGGAAGAATAAGAATGTTGCTCTTTCCTGCTGACATATTTTCCTTAATATAGGTAAACACAAGAATCAATTGGAAATTAAAATGTTTCTTCTTTGTGGTCTCTGTGAATCAAACAATTAGGGTAATCAGAGCACTGTTCGAACCTTCTAGATAATTAGGCAGAAAGGTTTTAGCGGTAACCCTGCCCACCATCCCAAGGCTATATAAGGCCCGGTTGCTGCCAAAACACTTTGGTTCCTTTTGTCTGCACTGCAGCCAGTTCAAGAACCATCTCTAATCGAGCTTGTCAATTCTTGAGATTTTGCCTGTTTTTCAACAATTTGGACTGCTTTATTCTCGGGTAAGAATTTTCTTTGTTCCAGTCTTGTGTTGTGATGACTCCTGCTTTTGAGTCATTTTGCTCTGTGCATACAGTGCTTATGGCCTAGTCCAGTATGGCCTCCATAACCCGCTTCAAGTGGTGTGAGCAGTGTTCAAGTAAATTCCCTGACAAGGATGGGCATTCTTTGCTAAGGTGAGGCACATGTATTTATTGCCAGGTCTTTACACCTCAGATGAGGAAGATTTGGGAGGCAAGAGAACCTGTACCAACAGGCCATCTCACCTTCCTCCTCTGCTTGGGCTTCTACTTCAATCTCGGAGTCCCAGACTGGGTCGAAGCAGTCAGATGTTGACTCCTCAACATCAGTCCCCACATCCACTTTGGGGAAACCTGTGCCTCCTTCAAGAGCTTCAATGAAGACTGCCATGAAGCCACTACAGATAAAGTGGCTGCTTCTCATTTGAAGAAGATGAATCCAAGGAGTCCACTCCTTCACCAAAGAAACTCCCGACACTGGGGAAGGCTTACAAAGCAGAGGCCAGAAAGAAAAATGCCAAAAAAAGGCTAAAAAAGGTGAAAGTCAAGCATCTCATGCTGAAACACCAGTCCTAACCACTGAGTTACTAGGGGCCCAAAGGGCAACCCCTGAAGCAATTCCTCCCACCTTGTCTCTGGAAGGAAGGCCTGACACTGGTGAGCCATACTCTGAGGGTGAAGCGGTTGAAGCTCCCATGGAAGTGATCAGGGCTCTCCCACCTATGCCTCTGACCAACTACGAGATCGATTTGGTACAAACCAGGCCCACATCTCAACCGAGGTCATGTTCAGCTGGACATGCACCACACCATTGATGCTTGGACCAGGCATCCCTGATGTTTCCTCAACACCACAAAAAGGTGCTCAAGAGTATGATTTCCTGGCATGAGCAGTTAGTTCCATCGATGAGGATTTGCTGCTTTCTTGATTGCTGAAAGATACTTCCCTGGGTTGCTCTGTTTTATTATCATGTATCATATCCCCTTGTCTCTTTGACACAGTTTCAGGGTTATTTTTGTGTTTATTTTCTGGGCAGATTTACTGAAAGTATTGAATGGCTATCCTGATTGTACAAGTTTATCTTATCTGAATGTATGATCATGCTTTGTGTGAAGCTCATTAAATATTTATGTCAAATAATGTACTCCAATTAATGGAAAGAGTTAGATGACATTTTTCAAAAAAATATTTTGTACAATTTTACAAAAGCATAGTTATGTATACCTTTTGAACTCAAATCTTGGTAGTTGTACATGTGTTGTGTGGTACATTCCACATCCTTTCATAGGACTGTTTTCATAAGTTTTCTTGTTATAAGTACACCATTCAAGGTGAATAAACCTTGTTGATTTTGTAGGCGATGGTCTGTTGTGTTTCATGACTTCTGCCTCCAATAACTTATGCTTGCTAGTCACCCAATTGTGTGATTTACAGAGACCTCAAATAAGAAGGACAGGTTGCTTGCCTGTAACTGTATTTCTTTGAGTGGTTGTCTATGAATTCACACAGTTCTGCCCATCCTCCCCACGCAGCAGTCATGCCACTTCAGATCTCAATATGGGCTGCAGCTGTGGCCTAGGAACTGAGGGGTTTTGTCGATAACCAGGCCTCGAGATGGTGGGCAGAATGACAGTCAAAACTTTTCTGCCTAGTGATCTAGAAGGTTCCAAACAATGCTCCATGCCTGCGCAGATTACCAAATTGTGTGAATTCACAGATGACCGCTCGAAGAAATACAGTTACAGGTAAGTAACCTGGCCATCTTCTGCGGTGTGTTTACTAATATCTAAATATTATCAGTGATAGTTTAATTTATTTCCATTTTTTTCCAAAAAGAAATGGTAGTGCTTTTCAAATTCTACAAAAGAACAGCTTTCAGTCATTATTCTATGACTTTAATAAGACTATCATAGATGTACATAGTTAACCAAAAGAGTGTCAATGGAGCTTTGGTGCTTTTTGACTCTCCTAGGATCTTAGTAGTAATATTTAGAGTGAAATTCCTACCTTGGCAGAAAATAATAGATAACCAAACACCCCCTAGCATCAACTAATAGTTTTCATTACCTTTCATAGAGTATCTTAATCTTGTTTTGTTTGTGTATATACATAATGGGGATTACCCTCATCCTTACTTAATATCATAAGAAAAGATGGTTCTGATTTATATGTATATATTTGCTTGTTTTAAGTGCCACAGCTTCTGGTCAAAAATACTGAAAAGACCATTGCTCTGATTGACATAGTCCAATGCTTAGAGAACTAAACCATGCCCCTTTCTGCAAAGACATTGTGATTAAGCCTCTGCTGCATTAACATTCCCTTGGTAACTTTGCCTGCCTTTTTTTCTTGCTCACCCTGTATTACTAAATACACAACTTAGGTTTTAAGATGTTGCAATGCTAGAAATCTGTGGACTGCTGGAGTACGACTCTAGAGACCAAGCTTCAGTTCCCCACTTGGCCATGGAAACCCATTGGGTGACCTAGAGTGATTCACACAGTCAACCTCAGAAAACCCTGTGATCAGTTTGCTTTAGGGTCACCATACATTGGGAGGATTTGAAGGCAAGAAAAAAAACAAGGAAAATTTAATGAAAAGGACAGAGTGATGACCTCATTCCTCCCCCACTTCCTCCATGAATACCCTTCTGGCTAGGGAGAATCTCATCTTTCTATAAAAAGGCTTTTATAAAATTAATTAGCAATTTTTCTTCTTTTTGTCATTTGTCTTCTCTCTATGGTGCTAGCAGCCGTCCATCAGAATGGTTTATCCATGAACCAGATGTTGATGGGTTTATCACCAAATGTCCTACCTGGTCCAAAAGAAGGAGATCTGGCCGGCCATGACAGTGGACATGAGTCAAAAAGAATGCACATGGAGAAAGGTAGCAGTTGTCTGGAACTGTTTATTATTATTATTATTATTATTATTATTATTATTATTATTATTTGAAAGGGACAAGTATCATTGCACAGACATTAATAATCAAGCGTTGCTGGGAATGCTCTAAAGCATTAATGGAAACATTCATGGAAGAGGGACACATTGCAAAATAACATAATTCAACAAAATAATGTAATTTCTTTTGTTTTGTGGGTGTACAAATTCATGTAGTATATTCATTATTTTAATAGTAGGAAAATTGTCCATATTATTGAATAATGTTGCTAGAGAGGGAAAATATTAGTGTTCTGTGCTTGAGGAATATTTTCTTGAGAAGTTTATTTGATGTAATTGATGCATGTCTGTAGTTGATCAAAGAAACAGTCACTTAAAGTCAACCACAGTGAGATAACAGTTGATGGCCATGTGTCGGGAAGGAAGAGAGGCTAAATTGCTTAGCTCTTATAACTATTAATAGTCTAAAATTAGACAGGCGGATATGATGTAATTTATTTTAAATTTAATCAGCCATCTGACTGAAAATATATGAGATAGATGAAGGTGTATTAGTATTTCTATTGATTATACCACCTTCTCAATAGGATTTAGACAGACTTGTGAAGCTCCGTATTTCTGAAAAGGAAACATTAACAGCTTCTCTTATTATTATTTTTTAAATTACAGAAACACATTTGAAGGAGGCTATAATTTTGTGTACATGACATATAGATTTTAAGCAACTCTCGTAGAACTGAGAGATAATGAGGCTGAACTCAAAGGCAACAGCTTGGTAGCAATGCAGGACAAATCCATAATAGCAAGAGCTGCAATACATCTGTATATAATAGCTAAAGCAGTAAAGATTTAAAAAGTGGACATATTTTGTGGCATAGTTTAATAGGTACAAAAGGTTCCCAGCTCTATCCTGCGCATCTACTATGAGATAGGGAAAATGAATTAAAATCTGGACACCTCCATTCTGGACAGGTGGTGTCTTTAATAAGATTACAGTAAAAATTAATGGGAACAACATTTCTTTTATACAAATCATTAATTTTGGTTCATTGCTCACACAACCTGTTATGGCTCCTTGTGTGCCCCCCACTTAGACCCCGCAAATGTTTTCCATGCTGAGAGTCTGATACAAACAGACAGGATGTAAATTTTTTAGAAAATGTTTCTGTTTAAGCCTGTTGAGGCTTATAGTATATCTATACTCCATCCCATTGAAATTCTAGTGTGAAATAGTTATACATTTTACATGGTCTCTGTTTTCAAAATGGAAGTTGGTGAAAATTCCTAGAAGTATCCCAAATGTATATTGCTTTGCAGTAATGAACCTACCTCCTGGTGGGACCTATTGCTATCGGGAGTGTAGAGAGTCTCTTCTGAAGCAGTCATTTTTTAGGTCACAGCCTTCTTTTGTCCCTTTCCTCCCCCCCCCCCCAACATACCTCCATCTCTGCTTTCTGAATTGGTTGTAAATATTCATGGGTTATCTAGATTTATAGCATATACTAAATTAAAAATTGTTTTCTGTCATGACTGCATTTATCATATCTCCTGAGCCAGCCCTGTAACTTTTAGCCAAACTTACCTGTATTAAAACAAGCAATTCCACTTACTGATATTTGCAGAGATTGTAATTATCTGTTTGCATCATTATGGACCTACAGTTCAGATATGCAATTTCATTTCTGACCACCTTTAATCATTCAAAATCATTAATCATTATTACAGGTGGAGAAATGAATGCAAACCAAATAGATGCAGGCATTTATATTCTTAGGATGGAAAATGCCTTGGCTGTATCACTTATCTATGGTTCCGGGGGGGGGGGGGGGATAGAAATTTTTAACATTAGTCATTAAGCATTTGCACATAACTCTGTTTTCTTCCAAGACACACGTATGCTAATCCATCAATTGGAGTTAAAATGACTTTTAATAATTGCAACTTTGAGCAGTTAGAAAAGCTGTGGTTCACACTCCTCCTACCTTTTTTAATTCAAGTATTCTAAGTTGCAGAAAAATGTTAATATCCAATCTGCAGTATATTTAAAAAGTTGAAAGGATTTTAAGGCAATAGTCACATTAATAATTCAAGACAGAAACTTTCTATGGTAAAACTTTTGGTAAACCCTATTTTTTTTTAATAATTGTAAACATGTTTTTGTCCAGCTATATGGAATCAGAAATAGATATAGATAGTTGATGTTTAAGTAGTTTTACAGATATTTGTGTTCAGTTGCATTAAATCAAGTATGTTTCGCTTTTTTGTGTTTCTCCGTCTCATAAAAGGAAGACATTGTTTCATATCTCTTTACTATTAAAAAAGATGTGGTAACCAACCTGGGAGAGAGATTTTGAGATACCATAATGCAGTACCAAACTATCAATCATACTAGTATGTGTTAAGTACTATGAGGAGCTTGGCCATTGGTTGAGATTTCTTTCCCCAAGAGTTTAAATGACTGGATTTCCTCTTTCAACAAACAAATTATATCTTTACCATGTGATCAACTCCTGCTGCTTGGGAGAATGTGAATTCAAGGAGTTCTGACATGTTGGAATAGTGCAGTGGATCTCAACCTGTAGGTCCGCAGGTGTTTTAGCCTATAACTCGCAGAAATTCCAGGCAGTTGACCAGCTGTTAGGGTTTCTGGGAGTTGAAAGCCAAAACATCTGGTGGCCCACAGTTTGAGAACCACAGGAATAGTGTATATATACAAAATTCACAAACTACCTACATCTTTTCCTCTTATTTTCAACTATCTGTACAAATCTTGCCCGGGAAACTTCCAGTGATGATGACTTAACTGAATAGTGTAGGTTGGCTGCCTATGACATGCTAATATCCTTGTGGTATATTCCATTGGAAGTGAAGGTTCCATGAACCTGCTCCAAAACCAAGTGGAAATTATGGAAACCTCTGCATTGCTCTCAAATCATTTTTACGATACACACCCTTTGTCCTTTATATCATTCACTCTATTCTGTTTTGAGTGTTGCAAAAATTAAAGATGGAAGTATAGCACAGACTGTGGAAAAGGTTTTCATATTAGGCACCAGTTACTATCAGGACAATTATGTTCAATTTCCTCTACATTTATTTCAGAAAATGTTTTAAAATACTCAAGATTGAAGTCATACAGTGTTAGAAATAATTTCTAACAAGATAGTTCTTGCAGATCTCTAACAAAAGAATGCTTATAGTATTTGGCCTATGCATTTTGTCCCCTTGTATATATTTTCATAGGGTTATCCTGCTTAGCTGGACATCATATTTTAAAAAAATAACAGCAAGAAAGCTGTCCTCATCCATTTATATTTTTTAGATTTCCAGCAATTATAAAGAAATCCTGAATGCCAGTCTTCAGTTTAAACTAAATATTTTATCTACTTCTAATAAGAAGGATGTCTTTAGCCTAAAACTATGTGATCTTTTCGGTTGTCAGAAAGATACATTCACCAAGTTCATAATTGATACTTAAAATCATAGAAATTTTCCATAGGTGTTTTTCCCTCCAATAGAATTTTCTTGACAACTTATGCTAAATTTCTATACATTAACAATATCAGATGCACCATCACAGATCTTGATTTTTAAAATTGAAGGAAATTGCCTTTATTTACACAAACCATATGTGTGCAACATTTCTCCCCCCACTAAAATGGAGAAAATCAATCAACCAAGTTCTCTCTTAATATATATGGCTCTTCCTAAACTGTCATATTCCCTGTTCGATTTTTTTTGTTATTCCTCTGGGTTCTTTTTGTTAGAAGAGCAACAATTACTATTTGGATGTAACAGTAAGCCATGAATGGAGATTGCCTGGTTAGTTAAAGTTACAGGTGAAGTCAAATAGGAGCAATTGACCAACATGCCTAAGTACTTTGGCTCTTTCATTTTAAGGCAGAATATTGAGCAATTCTAGCTTTCTGGGACATATGAAGCATGCCATGGTTTAAAGTTTACTCATATATAACTTGCTGACTTTCATGAGTCATTTATACAGCATTGCTTTTCTTGTTGGATATGTGAAGACCAGTCAGTAGAAATTGTTATGCTAATATTTTCAATACATTACGAAAAGATTTTGATTCCATTCATTTATTCTCTACATTCCTTTTCTTGGTATATTGGTTTCCCAATCAGATAGCTGATCCATACTTCCATTGAATTTATAAATGTTTGTTAGAGTTATGTCCCATGAAATTATTTTTTAGAAGTTTGTGTTATCCATTCTTGAGAATCATGTTGTTGATAGAGTTTCATCACATCATGGAAGACAATTCACATTGTCACAAAAGCTAAAGTTGCATTTAGATAAAGGTGGATATTGGTGGGCATTAGCCACCATATGATTATGGCTGATTGCAGGTTTTCCTGCTACCCTCGACCCATAGGGAATAATGGTAGGTGTTGTGGTGTCCCTCCTCCCTTAAGATTTTTGTTATAGTTATAATTTAGTGATACTTCAGTTTTCTCTCACGGTATTTTGTCTATTTGTACCATTTTTCCAAATGGACACTGTAGATAGGCAATTATATAATGAAAGTAGTGATTTTTCCTAACCATCTACCTTCCTTAGGTAGAGTGGATTTTTCCAAAAAGAGTTTTAATACTTGAATGTGATGCTTAGGGGAAATTTTGGAGCCCACACACAGACATTCTGTCAGGGTTCACAACACATTAAAGGTACATTGTACCATTTACCCAAGTGGACAGCATAGAATGGAAATTATGGAAATTGTGATTTTCTAAGCACCCATCAACTTCAGGTAACTTCAGGTAAGGCTAGCATTTGTTGAAAAAGTGTCCTTCACTTTGCTTCCCAGGAGAAAATCTTGAGCAGGATATGACCATATTGCGTTTGTGTGTGTATGGACTCATGATACCTGTTAGTTTGAGGACCTGTCTTTTTTAAGGAAACAAACTTAAATGGCAATAGCACCTTATTTCTGAGTGAATGTGATTTTCTTTGAGATCTTCATTGGA